TGAAGGAATGCCAGCTTAATCTGAGGATTTGGGGACTTAGATGAAATAGAGTACATCTGATTCCGTGACTCCCACTTGTAGTAGAACTACGCCCTCCTAACGAAATTTAACGGACTAGATGCCTGTAAAGCTACGTTACACTGACACGGAAAATGAATTCTATTTAACGACGAACACAGAAAAAGGGGAATAAAACCTATTCAAGTGCCGATTGCGCATAGAACCAGATGTATTTTATCAGAAGATGGATATCTCCGTGATTATAATTCTTCGACGGGGTGTGTGATAGACTTACCTCCAAGTGGTGCACCCAGGGCAACGTATACTCATACGGCATACAAGTCAATTAACCGGCAGTCAACTTCAGACTCCAAACTACCATCACCCCACTGTATGCCAAATTCGACTACTTCAACCGTACTCACCTCACCTTTTTTCCAATTTTGTGTCTGTCTCTTTTACATCTTTGAAACTCTTTTCTATTCCGCATCTCCCTCTCGACTTATTTCACTTTGATGTTCCTCCTCCTCTGTGAAGCCTGAAGTCAACTAAAGGGCTAATGATAACTATCAAAACGCCTGTCATTTGATATAAATAATAATTCTTCGAGGCTTTTAACACATTGTGATTAAATTTACAAAAGATGAGCCGAATTGGCATGCATAATGAATAAGGTTAAAAATGACTATTTTCAGTGAAGCTATATATAATATACCGAAATTAGATAAAATAAAAAAAAATAAATAAGAGGACAGTACCAAGTGGGGAAGGTCGCTTAATCCTTCCAGGAAATTTCCATTCCAACTGGAGGGGTTTGTCATTTTCAATATCCTCGTAAAATGGAATTAGATCGTCCAAACTAAGCCCATTCGGATAATTTGAAGCGAATTCCGAAGTAGGGTCCACAAATGACAAATTGTTTTGATCTTCCATGCTAATTTTTAATGAGAAACTAAAAAACATTGATATACAAAGCCACTTGCAATGTAAATTAAGCAAGAAGAAGAATTAATGTCGTCTAAAATAGTTTTATTAATATAAGTAAAAAAGTAATCTCTAAAGAAGAGTTAAATAAAAGGCATCCAAGAACTACCATCGGAAGGCACGAGATCACCTCGAGCTAGAAGAATGATATCAACAATCCACCACACTCCACATCCTCCCAAGGTGAGAAGTTTTCCCACGCCTGTACCAAGATGACCAAGGCAAAAACGATCAACTCCAAGAAAGCCAAGAAAAATACTGTAGAGCAGAGTGGTAAGGAAATAGTAACCATGATAACGAAAGCAGGGATAATTAGGGAGAAGAAAAGTGCGATTGCCATAACACTCGATACCAGGAAGAACGTGGCATGTCAGCGTTGTTAGTTGGATATCATTTGGATGTATTCCGCCCCATTTAAAACAGCCCTTACTACCGAGATTTTCAAATAGCGTTTGATTTCCCTGAAGATCTATAAAATAAAGTTAAAGGTGGTGACTTTATAACAACCTTCTGGGGGCTCACACCAAAACGAATGTCGTGGAAGATACGAACAGTTGACAAGTGGAGAATAGGGATCATAGAGACTCGGCAAATAAGATTCTTGAGTGGTATTGGGCATACCATACGAAAGCAACGCGACATCAAACATATAACCAGTTGTAAGAAGGGGTAAAACCCCTACAACAAGAAAAGTATCCACAAGTTGAACCTAAATCACATAAGGAGAAATCGTCAAAGCGTATTAACTTCGGAGCCATAATAATACGCTTGATTAAACCAAATATATTATTTTTAAAAGTTTTACATTAGAAAAAATCACACACTATAAATATAACATAGGCCAAATCAACACGATTAATAAAAACTTATGTTTATAAGGACATAGAATAACCATCAGTAATGATAGCAAATGCGCGCCATAGTAATGACAGAGAAAATTGTAGAAATTAATTGGCTAATATTTATTAAATAACCGTTTTTTGAACTTTAAGCTAAACATATTTGTTATTTTTAATTTAATTAAAGCGAAACTGTCTTTGATAAACCAAATGCGGTTAGGTATTTATTAATTTTTGAGGGTTTTTCAATTTCAAGGTCTATCAAAATACTGCTGCTATAAATGTCGGATCTTATCGAATTTTGCGAAAAAATTTTATCAATAAATGTTCCTGAAATAGCGAATGAGAAATTTTCTAAGACTTTCGCACAACAAAGACGACATTTTCGAATTTCTGGATTAAATTCTTATTTTTCCTATCAGCCTGGTCCACACAAGTAACAATTTTTCTCACTAATTTAAGTAGGTATTCGAAAGACCGATTGCCATTATTGTCAAGAAGATATAAGGATGCACTCGTTAATATTTTTTATAATCAAGAGAATATAAATTTGGAAAGAAGAAGTAAAGTGTCTAATTATTTAACTGCTTTGGACAAGAGTAAGTGAATAATTTTGTTGTTACTTCAGCATGTTTTGAATATCGGGATGTTATTTTAATTTATTTATTTTCATTGATGAATACTACTGATAATGAAAATCAATTGGTTTGTTATCTTTAAGCTTTAATTGCTATATAGCCTATTCATTCGAAATCTATTGTATCAATCTTATTGTCCGACACATTTAATCGTAACGAAGTTACTCGCTTTTCATCTTCCAAAAAATCAAGGGATAATTCGTGGGTATGTGTTTCGTATTAAAGCGTTATTTTTAAGATGTGTAAACGTCCAGACATATTTCCGAACAGCGCTATATTACCTCGAACATGTCAGTATATGGGTGCTTTTACTACATTTAAATCGTCCTCTGTCGGTGAAAGTGGTGATATCCTTGAAATTCCTTCAACTTTCTTAAAGGACCCCTTTGCAAAGTAATCCACCTTATTCCTCAATTTGACATTTTTACTTGTATTTTATACCTTTATTTATTCATCTACAAATCCTTTAAGGTTCTGCAGACAATACAGTTTTTCCTCTGATTCGGTATGGTTTTTTGTTGGTTTATTTTCTCATTTTCATACCTTTTTTTACATTTCTCTGTGAAGTACGTCGCAAATTCCTTGAAGTATTTAACAGAGGAATAAGTGTAATAATATGATATAGGAAAAGTCAACAATTATTCGTTTTATTCGATTTAATTTTATTAATTACACATAACCCAATTATCTTCCCTTTTCATGTTTGGTGCCTATCTAGCTGAAAGCAAGCAGTAATCGACCTTGCCTTACTTTTGGAAACATCCTCAAATTCAAAAGGGAAGACTCGTAAATGTATTGAGCTGAAATTACTTCATACTTGCGTCTTTACCTATTGGACAGCTATTTTTCTAATAGTTCGCAGTGTTCGCAATTTCCTGATCTAAAAAAATTGTCGGACTTCGTTACACAGACCATTGTCATTTATAAAACTATTTTGCATCAGCGTTTACTTAAAGATGATAGTCTAGGAAATCTGTGATTACTTGATTTATTCAAGTTTAATTGCAGAAAATTATTTTCGCCATAAAATACTAACTTCTCTAGTTAAAGCTTAGTCTTACCTCCTCAAGCCCTTCTTATTAACTTTCCTCGCAGTGTCGTATATTTTACATCAATTTTCATTGAATTCATTAAAACCAATACAAAATTATTATTGAATTTCTTACCTAGACGTTTTTTCTCATCTATTTTGCTTCATTCATAAAAGCTGGACAACATATAGATTTCACTTTCTGATTTTTATATTAATTTAATAGTTTATGGTGATTATCGTATTTAATGATTTCTACTCCTTTTCCAATTTAGGGTTTCGTAACAAAATCTAATTCAAGAACTTCTATGAAAAGCATTCAAGTGTCGTTGAAGGATATTCCACAAGTCGACAGATTCGTTGAACAGTCGAAAAGCATTCGAAATTCTAGCGAAATTGACACATTTTATTCCTGGGAAGAAAGAAATAGGTTGGCTGTTGCTTCTCAACTATAATCTTTTCTTTTAATACGAAGATTAAATAATATTTTTTTTCTAGCTCTGTATCGACTAAAGAAAAGCCTTTTATCACTGAGATGGGCAGTCTATCAGCCCATGCTCTTGTAAGTGCATTCAAATGTCGTTACCAGCAGTCTTCTCGAATTAATGCCCCTTCTGAAGTAGCTCTGGATTCAATAACCCATGAATCTCTAACTCTCCAGCGTTCTTCCTTTATCCACGATCTTCTCCTTTCGCATTTTGGTGTTATTTCCACTCGATTTTATTGGCACCAGAAAGAGGGAGAATCTCTATTAAAGGGGGCTTTTGTTTGGTGTGGTGACCCTTTGGATGTCCTCGCCTTCAATTCCACTCACGGCAGTCTTTCCTCCCTATTGGAATCCCACCTGTATTCGGCTACGTCTTTTCGTCGTCTTGATTGGCTGGCCTCAAGGTCTTTGCTAGGATGTGATTTGGGAGATACTGATGGCTACCATGGCAACGTTTGGAGCGCATTGAAACAGGGCTTGAGTGAGTGGTTGCGCGTCTACGCGACCACGCTGGAACGCGCGGTATTCGCTGGGCGTCGACGCCAACAACGTGGTGGAGCAGAATTGCTGGAGCTGACTCAGTGCCTTCAGCTCATGATGAGAAATATGCTGTGAGTAAAGACCAGTGCTTGCTTTCTTCTTATGGTTTTGCTATTGGGAAATTAGGAAATGTATTAAGGAATCAAGCTAAATTTCTGGGAGGTTTTGACTATGCGGTGACACCTTTTTAGTGAATTGAGTACTCTTGAGTAGTTATGGGAAGTTACTTGACGTCTAGATGCACATTTAGGGAATGAGGGTGATATTGGGGGTCCCAAAAATGATGTTTGACCCGATATGTACCAGTTCTCCATCGTCTTTTTTGACATACTTTCAGAGGTCTTTCGAATTACCCCTTAATTTTGGTAACCAAATATATTTATCTCGATTGTTTTTCTATGTATTCGTCGGTGCCGATGAATTAACTGCAATTTGGGAGAGGTGAATGCCTGAATATTTGTTGTACCTTTTCCAATAAGTAGATTAGTTATATTTCGAAGCTTCTGCCTTCTATTAACTATAATTGAATTGTCTAGCTTATATACCAACTAAAGTATTTTGAATTCTGGAATCACCAATACACTATTTAGATCTATTTCTGGTAAATTATTCGGTGCTTAGGAGAGTAAGACAGTAATGAGGCATGAAACAACAAGGAATTGAATTATTCCTGTATATTTAGTTATAGAAGTACGTGTAGGGCAAATGAATTATTTGGTTGGTAAGAAGGTGCCGCAATGATTGTTGTCTAAATAAATATTTCTTAAAGCACCTCTTATTGATAGGCCAATATGGGACAGAATATCTATAAAAGTATGAAGGGTGAAAGGTATCTGTGCTCCCTCACTCAGAACTGCTCAATCTACCCTTTAATTGGGTACCTACCGATTGTTAATTAAATGGGATGTGAAATCGGTCAATCACCTTATCGTACCTTACCCCCCCCCCTCTCTTCTCCGTCCATTGCAAACCCGAACTGTCCTCTCTCAGTACTGACGCCTGCCTCCTTCCTTCCAAATTCTTTCGCCTCTTTCCGATTGTCTGATAAACCCGTTGGATTTTTAACCCTTGATAGTTGTCCGTTAGCCCTTAGGAAGACGATTAGTTCATCATATAATTTAGTACTGCTCCTTAAGTAGATTTACTCGGGATTGTAGCTACTTGATAGCAAAAGTGAGAGACTGTTTGGTTCGATCAAATCACGTCTAAACTCTACAGTGGTCCCAAACAGACAATCGCTTTCACACAGGCTGCCAAAATTGGTAGCTTAGCCCACTTTCTATTCTCCAATAGTAACGTGCTTGGTGGCTTACAATATGTATAATAAATGAACTTTCACCAATATTAAATGACGATTGGCAAATGATGTGATTTGTCACTCGGATGGTGGGCAATCGTCATAATGAATTATTCTTATTTATCTCAGTTAGTAAGTGAATAATGGTGCAGTCTGCTTCATCGTTTTGCTCTTCTTTCGGTTCACTATTAGGCTACGAGTTAGTTTGGATCACATGTGTTTTTGGCATCTGTAAATGAATAAGAGTGAGAAGGAAGATGGTCTAGGAAGAAGGGTGAGGAATAAGACGGCAAAATCCACTAGTAGTGAATGAGAGGAACCCGGGTTATGGTAAAGAGGGCTTGAGGTTCAATGAGGAAGTCGACAAGTTTCGTGTTCTCTGTTGGTTGATGAGGGAAGTCAGTATAACCACACCACGAATACCATCACTGTTAGGGAAAATCGACTTATCGGCCATCACACTTGGATCACGCAACGAAAATCATGAGTGATTTGTTTCACAAGAGTTTAATTTTATTGGTTATTTTGTTCCTCATACAGTGCGGTGGCACATGCTTTTGGAGTGTCTCCAGTCTCGTTGCGAGATAACACTGAAGAGATCCAGGTCCAGCACCTTTCTGGGGTACGTCTTCTTGCTTGGTTTGGTCGTCAAGTCATCACCAGTTCTCCAAATACTTCAAGGAGTTTGGAATTCATCTTTCATCGCGCTGTGACTCCTTTCATTCGGTGAGTTCTCTTCTATATATTTTTTTTCAGAATTTAAAAGATGTGCAGTTAAACCGCTCACTTGTGGTGCCACTGATATAACCCCAGATCGTGTACGATCCGATTCTTTCCCGATCCTTTTTAAGAAGTAGGATCGAGTAATAGCCCCTTTTGAAGATTTGAGAAGAAATTGGTGGGTATTTCTGAAAGCTGATCCTTTAAAATTCTTTGTTAAATTGATTTAAGAACGATCCCCAAGTCTCATCTGATCTCTCGACTATTGTTAGACATCAGTCTATGCCATTGTGTAGCGATGTCGGATCTGATTTATTGAATCTTAGGTCTCTGGCTAAGAATGAGTTCCTAAATCTCATTTGGTTTTACCAAAAATTGCCTAATAAAGCCTTAGCTCTTTTCTAGAATGTCCTCGCATTTCTGAAACCATTTTGTGAACATACGATTTTCATAATCATTGGGGAGAATTCGATTGGTTGAAGTGGTTTGAGATGGTGGAACCTGACTGAATTGAAAGGATTTAATCTTTGTTCGTGTTTTTATTAGTTTTGTTTGAGTTTATTTTTACAAAATTGTCTTGTTGCTGTTAGAGGGGGAGACTGGCTATGTGCGAAAGTCCATTGGGGGATTGTTGTAAGATGGCCTTTGGTAATTTTGTGGGCTTTGTTAAAAGATAATTGGCACCTCTGAGATCGTATTTATTGCGTCGCCAATGCTATAAGGCTAAAGTTACTTAGTCCCTATATCAGAGAGTGGGAGATAGCTGTATTCTAAAGACTTTCTTCCTTTAATACGAGCATTTTCTCCTTTATGCAAATTTGGCTTGGATTATTAACTAGTTTGGTTCAATAGGCCACGCATATGGCTTTAAGGAGCTTAAATCTTACTTTCGGTACACAGAAATAGGAATCGGAGTATCCATCTCCCCACCCCCTCCCCTGCAGTGCCGCGGTAACCAAACCGAACGTCTGCCAACTGAGAGGTCATGGGTTCAAGGCCCATGAACGACCAGCCTCCCGGATTAATTTTGGTCAACATGAGGGGTGATGAACTGTGGGCTTTTTTTTTCTAAGAATGACTTTCGAGTCTTCGAAAATTCTTACATTTCTTCTTTTTGCAGAAAGCGCATTCAATCAAATGAAGTAGAAATAACACATTTAATTGAAAAAAAAAACAATTTATTTGATCTGATGTCTAGGATTTAATTTCCTTTTGTTTTTTTTCCAGGTTTTTGCACTTGTGGACCACAGTTGGTGTCATTGACGATCCTCACAATGAGTTCTCTATTGCCTTTAATTACCGATTTTTGCACCGAAAAGGTTGGTTTATTAAGCGTTAAAACTTGCTACTATTTTATTTTAAGTACAGCGTCATTTTTTCTATCTCAGATGCTAATTTCTGGCGATATGCAGTCCACTACCAGTCATCAGAACAGTCAGCAGGCGAATGTCTAACTTTACGAAAGGAGTCAAGCAAGCAGAACGGAGCTTTATTTGGCCTTGTTCCTTATTCCACTGAGGCTATGATTCTTCGTTGTGGTCTTTCTGTGCATCTCATTCGTTCCATCGCACCGAATGTAAGCCTCAGTTGCACTCAATTGTTGGCACAATCCTTTCGCCCTTTATCGATATTGTTTAGTCTCATTATGTCTATCCTAAAAGGATGGTTTAATGTTGGCAGATGGTAGTTTATTGAGTAAGCAATAAAAATTTTCATTGTGAGAAAGTAATTAAACTTCGGAATCAGTCAGGCATTCCAATATTGACTTAGGAAGGAGACCACTTAGTCAAAAATTTATTTATTTTTATCAAATGGCAGGCGTTTTGATAGTTATCATTAGTCATCAGTTGACTTTAGGCCTCACAGAGAGGAAGGAACGTCGAAGGGAAAAAAGTCGAGAGGGGAGGGGAACAGAAGAGTGTTTCAAGGATGTAAAAGAGACAGACAAAGGTAGAGAAAAAGGTGAGGTGAGTACTATGGAAGTAGTCGAATATGACATACAGTGTGGTGATGGTAGTTTGAAGTGAGAAGTCAACTGCCGATTGATAGACTTTTATGCCGTATAAGTATACGTTGCCCAGGGTGCACCACATGGAGGTAAGTCTATCGCACACCCCACGTAGTCAAAAGTAATGTCTGGGTATCA